GGGCCCCGGGCGCCCTGGAGGACGTGGGCCAACCGACTCGCTGCTTCCGCTGGCCGCTGGCCGCTGGCCGTGTCCCCGCGCAAGGCTTGCTCTGTCAAAAGCCGTGTCGTCCTTGCCCGGCGTCAGGCGGGGCTGCCAGCAGGCATCACCCGCTCTCCTGTCTCCGCAGGGCCCGCTGCTGCGCTGGCTCAAGGTGAACTTCAGCGAAGCCTTCATTGCCTGGATCCACATCAAGGCGCTCAGGGTGTTTGTGGAGTCCGTGCTCAGGTGCGTGGCGGCCGGGCCCAGCCCGGGCTGTCCTGCTGGGGGGGCAGGGGGAGCGGCCAGCTGTGGGGGGCCCCCCCCCCCCTCGGGGGAGCTGTGGGGGGCCCCCCCCCGGGACCGCCGCCTGCCCCGTCCAGCCCCCTTCCTCTGGGCCCGGGCCCTCCTGCCCTGTCCCCGTGCTGCTCCTGGCTCTGGGCGACATGCTTGGGATTTCCGGAGTCGCCCAAGCCCTCGCTGCGCGCGGCGGCCTGCGGTCCTGTGCGCTGCCTCCGTCCCCTGCCGGACCTGGGGCGGGGGGCCTGCCCTCTCCAGCAGGTTCTGTGCGACTCCTGGAAGAAATACCGGCACTGTCCTTGACCTCGGAGGCCCAAGGCAACACACACACTAAAACCTAAACCAGAGAGCGAACTAACGACGACAAAAATTATGCCTTGTTTTTAACAAAAGTGAAATGGGTTCGCTGTGGAGAATTAGGAAACTATAAATAAGCACCAACAGTGAGTAAAAATCACCTGTACTTTGAACAGCGAGAGAGAGCGCGGCTGGCTAACATGCGGGCGTGAACCCCTTCGGGAGTTTTTGTTCCTTTGTGTTTTGCTTTTTTTTCTAGTTTACAGATACGCCTATTTTTGACTACATTTGTATGAAAATGGAATTATACAGGAAATACTTTTTGAAGCCTGCTTTTCTCCTGGGTTTTGAAGATGCCCCGTGTCATGAGCTCTGGGGGTGGATCTTGGTAGCACCGCACACGGCTGGCTGGACACACTTTTTCCGGAAGCTTCCGCCCCTGCTTCTTGGCCCGCTCTGGCCCGCAGGCTCCGGTGCTTCCCTGGCCCTCCGAGCCTCTGGAGCGCTCTCCCCAGCCCCTTCCCCTGCCTGCACGGCGGCCCCCCACCTGGAGGCCCGTTCCTGCTTTCCTTTCTCTGCCTGTGCTTCCTGCATCTCCCGGTCCTGCCGCTCGCTGGACACATCCGGCTCCTCTTCCCTCCCAACCTCTTCCTCTGGCTGCCCTCTTAATGCCAGTGGCCTCATGTCCTTCCTGTCCCCAGGCCCCAACCCCAAACCTCGGGGCTCGGACGCTCTGCTCCCTCATCCCCGCTTGCCTCCCCCACTCCCTGCGCCCCACAGCGCCCTGGACGGGCCATCCATCCTGCCCCTGCTTTCTCTCTCGCCTCCGTCTCCCGCCTCGCCGGCCCAGCTGTTGCCACAGGCTCTCGTCCTCCACATGGCTGCCAGTGTGGTTTTGTTTAAACCGGTGGCTGCCAGGCGCGGTTTTGTCCAAACAATATGGTGGCTGCCAGGTGTGGTTTTGTCCAGACACAGATCAGATCTCACCGTGGCTCCTCATAATCCCCGCCCGTCTCAGAGGCCTGGAGTGGCGCGGATTGTGGCCCTGTGTTGCAGGGTGTACTCACGCTACCCTGGAGTGTTCCAGCCGTCCGTAGTGTTGACAGGCCCCAGACTGACCTGCTTGCCTCAAAATTCAGTGGTTCTCGGGCCCAATAGTGTGGCTGCCCATTTGCTCCAGAGAGGTATAGATAGATATCCTTAATATCTTAAGCTGGATAAAACTATTTCCCCTAAAAGTCATATAGAAATAATTCTTTTTTAAAAAAAAAAAGATTTTATTTATTTGACGGACAGCACAAGCAGGGGGGAGTGGCAGTCAGAGGGAGAGAGAGCAGGGAGCCTGACACGGGGCTCAATCCCAGCGTCCGAGGATCATGACCTGAATCAAAGGCAGACACCTAACCGACTGAGCCACCCAGGCGCCCCTGTAGAAATAATTCTTTACAAGACTATCAGTGTAGGACTTTTTCTTACTGTGTCTGTGTTTTTCCTGAATACAGTTGTAATATATGACCACTGTTAAAAACAAACTAAAGTTCAGAAATATATACTGTGGAGGAAGTTCCTCACAGTCCCCCTGCCCACAGATAATCACAGTTAATGGTTTCAAGGCTCTTCTTACCCCATTTATCCTTAACGTTCTGCAGCGTGCTTTTTTCATCTGCTTTCAGTTCTTACCAGTGTGTATGGAGCTACCTGATCCTTTTTAATGGCTTTTCCATATTCTATTGTTTGGAGAGATCATAGTCCAAGAAAACAGATGAACCAGCAAGTTTGTTAGCGCAGACAGACGGTGAAGTTCATTTGCTTGCCTGTTCCTTTGACCCCCCAGTTGGCACTTGGTGCTGTCTTCCTCCTCGCCAAGCTGGTTTGTTCTTCCCGCCTGTGTGGGGGCTGGGGCCGACTTGCTCGCTACCTGTGTCACTCAGCCCAGAGTTGGACAGAGTGGATGCTAACTGTTCGTGGACTCAATAAAACCAAAGTGAAGTGGACCCCGCCCTCAGCTGAGGAAGTGCTAGTTGGCCTTCAGGGTGAAGGGAACCAGGGGCTTCAGTCATCTGGGATGAGAGCGAGCCAGCCAGGTAGCTAGCTGGTTAGTCGGGCTCCTGGGAGAGGTGTTAGTGGGGAACAGACGTTAGGGAACCCTAATGGTGGCTCTGCGGGTGCATTCATTTAGAGAGAGTCGTATAGAGGGAACGTACTGAAGGGGCGCCTTGGGGGACCTCCAACATACAAGGGGTGGAGGCAGAAAAGCCCATGAGGAGATCGAGGCAGGAGGACGGAGTGGCTGACGAGTCAAAGGGAGTGGAAGCCTAAGGATTTATGTGTCCCTGCAAATGGGCCGTGAGGTCATTGGTGGGACAAGCCCCAGTGTGATGGCTGAAGGATGACTGGGTGACACAGGACACTGGATACTCTCAGGTTTGGAATGAGAGCCTTAGGGAGGAGCCGAGGAAGTTCATTTTAGGCAGGGCAAGATGGTGATATGTTAAAGGGAAGGGGGCAGTAGTTGAGAAACCTGATGGACCTTGCAGCCCCGGGGGGTGGGGCTGGGGTGGCTACAGTGGTCCCGGTATGGGGGCTGCAGGTGAGGGCTCCCCACCAGGTGACCTCAGCAATCAGGGAGGAGGAGGAGGGTCCTCTACTGAGCGATCCAAGAGGGAGCACCATGGGGGGGCAGCCTTGAGAATGAGCAGAACAGACTCAGCTGTTCCTGGAAGGCATGTTCTGAGCACAACAGAAGGCGTTCCTTTAAATTGATCCAGAGGAGGGGTTCGCAGGGTAAGGACTGGAAGGGTCTGCAGAGGAAGAACGTGAAAAGCCCTGAATTCCAGAGTGGGCTAAGGGGCCAAGGGCCTGGAGGCTTGATGAGGGGGCCAGGAGCATTGAGCCAGCATGTACGAAGCATTGAAGGAGGGCCGCTTGCTCTCCAGGACCCGGGGCAGAACGGCCCCGCGCCTCTGCCCTGAAGCAGCTCCCAGGCCGGGAAAGGCAGGAGAGCTCTCAACACGGGGATCCTCGTGAGGGAGGATAAACCATCTTCCAGAGCAGCTGGGCAGTGACTGTGGTGGAATGACCGGGTCGGAGGACAAAGCAGGGATGGCAGTGATGGCCCGGGAGCTGGAATGCCCGCCTCTAGCGTCCAGGTCACCCGGGCTGTGGCCCGCAGGTGGAGGGAATGGTCTGGGCGAAGTCGAGGACGTGGAAAGCACTGGGAGTTGGGGTAGGGAGTCCGGAGGGAAGCTGCTCATTCAGGGAAAGACGGCGACAGCCCCTCTGCCCATCTTCCCCAGGGAATACCAGAGCCTTGATGGTAAGGGGAGCAAAGGAGAGATGAGGCCATGGGCTGGGCCACCCCCGTCCCCCGTGAGCTAGGCCACGTGCTGCCATCCCCATCGGCACCGGCCAGCTTCTCTGGCACTTGCCTCTTGGGAAGACTATTTTGGCGGGGCTCTGAAATCGGGGTTCCGCTCGCCCAGAGCCCTCCAAAGGCACAGGACTAAGCAGGTCGTAGGCTTGATTTATAGTGAAAGCAGTACGCACGTGGTGACAAGCGGCCTCCTTCGCAGGTCGTCCTTCCTGCAGATCCAACAGAGCTTGTTATTTTGAGCAGACACCGCGCCATGAACGGCCAGAAATGGCTGGTTAGCATGTTCTACTAGAGATGTTCCTATCCAGAAAAATCCAATGAGTCTAACCTCTGACCCTAGACCTTCCGTTCAACTGAGTTTCGTTTTCTTAAGCTATGTTGACCGAGGCCTTTTTCTTACTAGAACTTGCTCTGTTTCTCGTCAGGGTTATTTTACCCACATTTGCACCTGAAGTAACTCATTCACACGTTTTGTCTGTCTGGGAAGGTACGGACTACCGGTGAACTTCCAGGCGGTGCTCCTCCAGCCTCATAAGAAGTCATCCACCAAGCGTTTAAGGGAGGTTCTGAACTCCGTCTTCAGACACCTGGATCAAGTAGCAGCTGCAAGTATACTGGATGTAGGTAGAGAATCCGACGGAAATAGCTGGGTTTCTGCATGGCCGTCAGCCTCTCCACGTGGGAGGCACTTTCCGAAAATGGAAGCTGCCAGATTGTTAGGAAGATCTACGTTTCACAAATGTGCAAGCGTAACGGGGAAGAGGCCGTGTGTGCAGCGGGGCTGCACTGTGCGGGGCCAAAAATGTGGTCAGAGAGCCTCCTCGAAAATGACAAAGACGACAGCAAACTGGGTTCTGCAGTTAGAGCGCCAACACGGCGTCTTCTTTTTGCAGGCATCTGTGGAGATCCCTGGCCTGCAGCTCAACAACCAAGACTATTTTCCTTACGTCTACTTCCACATCGACCTCAGTCTTCTCGACTAGAGAGATGAACTGGCACCACGGCGCGCTCCTGGTCACGCAGACGCCTGCAGACGCCTCTTTCCCTTAGCCAGAGGACCCTACCGAATTTAGATCTTTAGAGAAATGGCTCACCAAAGTTCGTTACAGTTGTATTTATTTTTTTTAAGTTACAATAAAGAAACGCTCAGTCCTTTGAATTGTCTCTTAGAACATAATTCGAACTGCACTTAACAGGGCCCACCTGGGAGTCGGTAACCCGGGTGCCGTAGTTCGGGTCTTAACGGCCATCTCGTGAGGGCGGGGGAAGCACGTTAAATCCTGAGCTAACAGTATAATCAGCCGTATTTCCTAACGGTCACTGGGGATGGCCGAAAGACAAAATCCGGGGGGGCACGAAAGGCAGTTCTCAACTGACCGCCCATTGCTTTCGCCCTTTCTCTAAACTCCCTGTACGGGTCACATCTCGCAGCTGGAACCTGGCCTTGCAGGACGCAGGTGAAATCTGTGTTGTGGCAAGCCTCCCGATGGTGCCCTCTGGGTCACAGGTTTATAGGGAGGGAAGACATCAGGGTCATCCCTTCATTATATTAACTTACTGGCTAAACATTGGATTCTGATTTTATGATGGGGACACTAATTTCATACATTTATTGGCATTGTCCAAAATATTTTATTTTTTTAATGGAAAAAAGCCATTAATATTCGAATGAAAGAATCACATTAAAAAACTTAATATGTAAGAAACAGCCTCCAAGAACATTCAAGCAGCAGTCAGAGGGAGGGAAAAATACATCAACAGCCCATCAGTTTTCCTCAAAATATTACCTGATAGAATACAACCCAATTTCACTGGCTACAACAATTCATAGAATTTTTCATTGTTTTCTTGAGATGCAAAGTTCACTGTTGCAGTGTTTTCACATGACCAATCAAGTGCTACTTCTTCGTTAAAAAGGCCACCGGTAGACTCATCTGATTGTGAAGAATGTTCCTTCACTGCTGGGGAAATTTGCTCCCAAGAAAAGAAAACTGAAGTCTGTGCCAAGCCTCTCACAGCTCATCTCTTTCCAAATCATCCAGCTCCACGTCACTGAGGTCAATGTCGTCTTCCACGGGAAGCTGGAAAACAAAGCCAACGTGAGGTCCCTCAGGGGCTGGGGGGAGGCAGGGTGAGGGGCTCAGAGCACACGGGCTCACCACGGAGCAGTCATTTCTAGAGATGCCCCAGATTTTACAGAGCTCGTTCCTCCCTAACCCACCTCCTGCTTTTAACACTGCCTATTATTTCATAGCTGGAAAAGCTGAGAACTTGGGTGAAGTATGAATTCAACAAATTACCACCCCTTTAACACCAACAGCCATTTAGCTTGTCCTTCTGAGGAAAAAGGGGCAGAAGTGTACTAGAATAAACGCTCATTTCAAAGCTATAATTTTGTGTTTCTCAGACACACAGTAAGTGAACTCCAGGTTAAATGTTCAGTTTCGGGGTGATAATCAGGAAAGAAACGTCATTACTGAAATTTATCTCGTCGTCTCTGTCAAGAATACCCAGGGCCCGTTTCTGACAGCATGCTAAGGCTTACGTCTGGTGGAAAGGACTGGGCTTACAAACAGCAAAGATGCCCAGGGACAGGGAGAGTAAGAAGAGGCTGGACAAGCACCCCAATGACAAGTCCCGCAGGCACACGGCCCCCTGCCCCGGGGACTCACCTCGCCATCCTTGCCGTCCCAAGGCTCTCTGGCGCTGATGGCAGGGAAGGCCCCACCTCCTACAGGTGCTGTAGAGCCCCGCCCGAACGAGAGCTCCCTGTGGCAGAAATGACCAAGGCAAGCACAGCCGGATGAAGAAACCAAGTTTTAAAATGACGACTTGCCTACTAGGTTCCTGCAGAGGCATTTCTCACCTCTTGCTCCTGAACAGTATTATCTTTTCAAGCGAGGACAACAATGCAACCAGGCGTGGAATTACTCAGGTCTTGGCATCAGATAAAACCAGTTATCACCAATAATTAAGAAAAACTTACTTTGCTAAAATACAAATTAAGTACACAATAATTATCACATTTGATGTAGAACACAGGTGCAACCCTGACAGTTCCATGAACTATTTACCTCCTCTGTGCTAAACAAACAACAAACCAGAAAAGGAAAACTAGTTGAAAAGAAACATGAACAAACTCAAAGCTGGGGTTAGAACCTGTCGTTTCCAGTAAGTGAGTCCAAAGGCTCAGTCCTGTTACGTCATTATTACCCTCATACATTTCCTACGGTTTTTGACACTGGAATCAGCTGTTGAAAAAGGATGACATACTTCTAAGTAGAGCTGACCCCGGAACGACACGGGCTGAACTGTACGAGTCCATTTACACAGATTTTTTTACACTACAGTAATGTAAATGTATTTTCTCTAATTTTCTTAATTACATTTTCTTTTTTGGGGCTTACTTCATTGTAGGAATACAGTATATGATACATAAAACCTACAAAATATGTGTTAATCAACTACCAAGAGCTTATTATCAGCTCTACAGTAGTGAAGAGAGACAAGGTCTGGGTCGAAGAGGTTCACCTTTGTGAAAGTCAGTTATGAGGAAGAGGCATTAACCAAAACAGTGCAGCGTCAATGCCTTGCATTTGGCCGGAAGGTGATTAAGTCAATTTTAGGATGAGCTGAAGAGCAGGACAGACAGAGAGCTCCGTACATTGGGTTTAGGAACCCTTAGTGTTGTTTGCACGTCGCTGCAGTCACTTCAGAAGTATGCTCGTTTTCACATAACAACCTTCTACAGCTAACGGCCAGAAATGGATGGGGTACTACGTGAGGTCAGGGGCACCAAGCGTGCTAGGGTGGGAATGGGTGAGAAAGGGCTCCTTCTAGCCCATGTGAGACTTTTATGAGAACCAGGAAGAGCTCAGTGCCAATGGCACAAGACGGCAAGGTGGCCATCACTCTACAGAATCCTTCCACAGGAAAGAGAACATGGCTCTTACAGGAAGATGATTTAGAACTCAAACATCTAATTCTCCAGAATGCCAAATGCAAAATAATTCCATCTACTGCCTGGTCTATGTAAACCTAGTTTTGAACCCACAGCATCACAGAACTAAGCCACAAAATAGAAACAACTCAAGAAAGCAAGAAATTACCTGAGAAACTCATTAATGCCTTGCTCGCTAAAAGAACCTTTTAGAAGAGCAAATTTCATCTTGCGTGCATTAATGGCTGCCATAGCAGGGTATCCAAATCCTCCAATCCCCAACGCGTTTTCAAGTTCCGACTGGGCTCCAGCCTCAGTCCACAGCCACCTAGAAAAACAGGCTGGTTTTTAGGGTAAGGATCCCTTTCAAATTAGTTGAAATCTAATTAGCAGGTATTAAAAGATTATACTCCAAATATTTTATGGAATGAAATAAAAAGGAAGTTTACAAAAATAATGTATTTTAGATGTGCTCTTAACTACAGTTCCTCTTATATTCCCTAAACTGTACCTCCAGAAGTACCCCCGATCTACAAAATTTTCCTCCCAGCCCCTGAAGTATTGTCCACTAAACCTGGTAAATCTTCTGTCTTTATTACCTGAAATCCTACTAATATCATTTGGGGGATTAGGCACGCTCTCTAGAAGCATCATAACTTCTTTGCAAAACTTACTGGTATGTCATTATTCAATACCTATGAACATGCTCAGCTGCATTTCCTTACTCAACTACTACAACGGTGAGGAGTAACGGGTGCCAAAAGGCGCTGTTCTGTAGGCACACAACTCTGCGCTGAACTCAGCCAGGCGGCGCAGGGTCACCTGTCCTGAAAAGGGCAGGAGGGAGGCGGGACAGTGAGAGATACAGAGGAGGAGAAGCAAAAGGTTCAACAGGAGGCAGACATACTTTGTCTTAAAAATCTGCCTGTATCAGCCCTCACTTGGAAAAGGGTAAGAAACACCCCTCTCCTTCTCTTTCTTTGGCCTCCAAAGCTGTGCCAGAGTCCAGTGAGGCGACTCAGGTTTTGCTTGCTAGCTGGGACCCCAACCACCACTTAAAATGACTGCTATGAGAAAAATGTACTCCGTGGCACAGATGAGTGTCTTAGAAATAAGAGACCTGCACTCCTTTCCTTCTAGATGGTAATTATTCATCTCCTAAACTTAAAAAAATGCCAAAGAGAAACAGGGACACATCCTACAGAGAACAGAGTGGGAAGCAGAAACTTGAGGAGCACGACGCTCTCCCAGCCAAGTCATACTGAGATTGTAACTTACCCCCACATTTTCTTCTTGTATTTGTCCGCCAACTTCAGAAGAACGTCTAAGTAAGAATTTCTGCCAGCAGCTCCTAATTTAAACAGAGTGTTTTCAAGGTAAAGATAAAGGCGTCCGCCACACTCCTCAGCGAGAAAAGACCCGCAGAGCAGGGAGAGCAGCGCACGGAAGGGCAAGGGGGCCTCTGCTCGGCGTACCGGTATCCAGAATGTGGGGCAGCACGGCCACGACACAGAGCTGGTGCTCCTCACACGTCTTCTTGGCGATGTCCTCACTGATGATCTGTGGGCCCAGAAGACAACGGGTGGGTGGAAGGCCACTGACACAGAACCCAAAGGTCAGCTTGACAACCAACACTGGCATCGTCACATTCACTCAAGAGCAGAGCAGACCGAGCGACTCCTCCGGAATACGACGGCCTTATACGCGATTCGGCACCAGCGACAGCTCTGCTCTGTGCACGACTTCTGCGACTGGTCCCAAAGCCCTCCCCTGGGGGGCCAGCGAGGAACCGGCGTGCACACCACACACACACACACACACACACACACACTCTCTCTCTCTCTCTCTCTCTTTCTCTCTCTCTCAAACCACAAAGGGTGTGGGTGCGGCCTGGCTCCGACACGGACTTGTTTAGCTAGACAGATATACGCATATTATACATCTATGAGCGCTTGAGGCTCTCTGGGCCTCCGTTTCCTCATGTAAAATGGAGATGAAAGCAGTATTTACCTCTATGCATTCATGTGAGAACTGAGAGAAACAGACGGAAAAGCACCAGCACAATGCCTGTCACGTGCTTCTCCGCAAATAACAGCTATGGCTTGGAGACTGAGGACAGCGTGACTGGATGCATTCTGTTTTTAAGCAGCCTGGTACACCTGTCCTCAGAGTGTAATTATTTTAGTACTAAAAGTTATGAAAAGCAGCAATTTATCAGA